CCGCTAAAAAAAAAATTCGATGGAACCGGAGTCATGACATAATTGGTGTAGGGAGAAAATGATGGTTAAAAAAATATTCATCTTTCCAAATATACCTGGATTTTGCAGGTCCGAATTATCGAAGATGTGGAATGTCCCCATTTAACAGGTCTTATTATTTCTGTCTCAACACTAGCTGACGTCTGTCCAAATAGCTATCAAAGTCTGGAATAGGGACTGATGTTTCGGTCTAGGACATATAAGTTATCAACAATTATTTGAAGTTTTATACGCATAGTTTCAAAACCAGCCTTCCTCATTTTGTTTCAAACATTCTTTTTTAGAAGACCCGATGCTACAGTATATCCGAAAATTTTCGAAAAAACCCTAAATGTTTTCGTGTAGAATAATGTTAAATTATCCCAATCCAGCTTTTAGGGATTTTGAGAAACGATATTGTTTGTAAAGTCATCAACTTAAGGTCAATATAAGTCATAGTACCTACTCTATCATTTTACTAGTATCAATATACTAATGATTTATTAGCTACTGTATTGAAGGGTGGATTCCTACGAAGTGGGATGATTATCTTACATGAAACATGTTTATCAAATATATAGCAAATTTAAAACTCAAGATATACTTCTTCGAAGATAATTTGTTTCTCTTATTTGCTTTCTTATCTAAGCAGTATTTGCAGCATGCTCCTTGTTCTGTAATTAAATGCCCGCTGCTATGTGGCAACCCTGTTTGAAACACAGTCGTATGAAAGCTGCCATTTTGTGAGATCCTACGCTTTCAATCCACATGCCAATTCATTAATAGTTCCTCTTAATGTCGATCTCAACATGTCGTCTTGACTTCGTGACTTTCAGTAGAAATTGTCTGGCAGATGACAGTAGTCTGGAGAACTGGACGAGTGTCTAATGATTGGTGGTTAAATCTTGTCAAATCTCTGTATACAACATAGGTCATGTCATTTCACCAACGATACCTTCATATTGATCTTATAAATCTCTTGATGTTCCATCGATTAGACAGTATTTCTTTCTCATCAACCATTCATCATACAGTAGAATTTATACCCAATGATTGACCACAACCGTTATCACTGCAAACATCTTAACAAGATAATTCTTATAAATGTAAAGTAAAGTGAATCTGGATGTGTTTGTCTTTATGAAGAGAATGTATTTTATAATTTCGATTGAATGGGTCATGTTGAAATGGTTGGAATTTAATGAAAAGTAAAAGGGATTGATGTTGCTGACAGTTCCGGGAACCCCTTCTTTCATACAAGTCCATATAAAATTATACCTATCGTCTAGGTATGGAATATGATAATAATTCAATAATCATATCAATTTCAACCAATTATTATAGAGTTAGATCAACGCCTAGAGCATATCGATTCATAACCGACAGTCAGCCCGCGACCTACTTTTATAATGAAGTGATAAAGCTTCATACTGTTAAACGTTTTTCAAACCAGTCTCTTAGTGCTCATGTTGCAATTTTAAGTAAAATTCAAATGAATCTAATGTAAATTTAAACTCATAGGGTAAATGAAAAACACATGATACTTCACTGCGACTAAGTTGATGAACTCTGCTTTCACAAATTTTGTATTTGGATTAGCCGTGAAATCGTTTTATGGTCGTTCCCCCTGTCCGTCGGTCCGTCCGTCAACATTTCTTGTGAGCACTATAGAGACTACAGTTTTCATCTGATTTTGATAAAATTTGGTGTGATGCTTTAGATTGATAAGATCTCTGACAAGTTCTAACTTGACGCATTTTCGTTGAACGGTTTTTGAGTTATTGCCCTTGACTTTGTAAAAACGCATCAAAATTTGTACGTGGGCACAATAGAAGCTACAGTTTTCAACCGATTCTGATGAAACTTGTTGTGATAATTGGAATTGATAAGATCTCGGACAAGTTCTAACTTGACGCATTTTCGATGAACGGTTTTTGAGTTATTGCTTTTGACTTTGTAAAAATGCATCAAAATTTGTTCGTGGGCACAATAGAAGCTACAGTTTTCAACCGATTTTAATCAAACTCAAGTTCTAACTTGACGTATTTTTGATTGAACTTGATGATTTTTCAATGAACGGTCTTTGAGTTATTGTCCTTGACCTAGGATAAACGCGTCAAATTTTTTTTTGCCCCCTGATTAGAGCTGTGTGATTTAATTATTTGTTGTATTTGGGTTATTGATATTTGTTTTATCAAAATTGTGGAATTACTCAGCATAAATAACTGGCATATATATATATTTATATATATAATTGAATTCAAACTAATAAAATTTCCTTCAATATGAGAAAATTCATACTTTAGTCACTAAAGACTGTTTTCTCATTTCTGACAGCTGCCAGTGGGCGTATGTTACCTTGTCTTGCAAACTATCTTTAGCAATCAGCTTTGCTTACAATTAAAATCACCCTTTTAGCGATTGGAGTTGAGTCAAGACCATATTCTAGAAATTTCTAGTCTTAGTTTTAAGCAAAGTTTCGATTGAACTTCTTCTTAGTGCAAGGCGTCTAGAACGTTGATAATTGAGGAAAAATACTCCATTAAGTTTGTAAAAGACTTCTACTTAACTTGTAAACTTTGATGTTTGACTTGAAATCGACAGAAATTCCAAAATGAAATTGTTCTATAACCACTCATGCCGATCTTTAAGTAATAAATAATAACGCAAATATCGACTATTCAAAATAACTTTGAAGTTATCTGATGTTTTATGTAGTTTAATTGGCTTCAGAAAATTTTATCAATTTGTGCTTATCAAGTATGAAAAATTATTTAGCGAATGCGATAGATTTAGATATGATTTTAACAAATTGTCCGGTTTAAGTATGAAGTTTGAATTCTTTTTATACCCACCCAGGTCATCTTAGGGTAAAAACATAGCCATTTTATCTGCCAAAAAGATATTTATAAAATAATGTTGAAGAAGAATGCATAATTTAGGTTTCTAAAGGATGCAAGTAGTTTGCATATGTTTCTCGTTACAAAGTATGTTTATCGTCACAGTGCTGCAAAAACGGAGATTCTCCGTGACGTTAAGTCGTTTCGTTTAAAAAAGCTCAGCTCTTTAGTCTTAGTAATTTTGTACTAGCTTCATAGCTTCATGTTAACGTGCAGCTTGATTAATTAAGGTTGGCTATTGACTCATTTTCTGTCCACTCGGCATGTGAATTTTGACTTATATAATGGATTAAGATTTTGATAGGCACATGTTCTTCTCGAGATCAATCTGAAATGAATTAGAATGGACTGATCGGTACCAGAGAATAGAGATTTATTCCCCTTTCAATGGTTAAGTGGTAAACACAATTAACAATTCATGTTACAGGCGTAATTTGTAGTGGTAACGCGCAAAATAGACTCTTACTCAATAATGTCCATAAGGGAGTCTTCTGGGTGAAACGGCCTATTCAATCAATCAAAAGATCTATGAAAGCGTTGTGTTTTTACTGCACGGATTGGAATGGAGTTTTACGTTTTACATTTTGAATGGATAAGTATACCATGCACCTAGAGGACATGTGTTAATAAAGAAGACTGTGTTGACATATTCAATAAATGGTAATGATTGGTCAATCTTATGAATTAATTTCTAACTTCAGATTAATCACTCAATGCTCTCGACAGAAACTACCATGATTTGATGTCTGCTGGAAGAGGAAATATTCACTATGGATTACAACTTGTATATATTTGTATTATTTCTACTTCCGGTTTCGAGTAAGTTTTTCTTGTTTGTTATCTTGCTTTTTCCTTATTTTCTATCAGATTTTATACACCCACATTATAAGATATATTATTTTTGAGTTATTGCCCTTGACAGAGTAAAAACGCGTCAAAATTGGTTTGTGAACAAAATAGAGACTGTAGTTTTTATTTGATTCTATAAAATTTGGTTTGATCATTTATATTGATGAGATCTTGTTCAAGTTCGAATTTGACGATATTTTGATGAATGGTGTATGAGTCATTGTCCGTGACTTATTAAAAATGCGTCAAAATTTGTTTGTGAACACAGTAGAGTTTATTATTTATAATGATGAGATCTTGGTGAAGTTCATATTTTACGATTTTTTTTATAAATGTTTTTTGAGTTATTGCCCTTGACATAGTATAAATTTGTATGTGAACGCTATAGAGACTACTGGTTTCATCTGATTTTAATAAATTTTGTGTGAACATTTATATTGACTTGATCTTGGTCAAGACCGAACTTGACGATTTTTCGATTAACGGTTTTTAGTTATTGCCCTTGACACAGTAAACACGCGTAAACATTTGTTTGTGAAAAAAAAAAATAAATAAATAAGACGATTTTTCGATGAAAGGATGAAGGATGTTTGAGTTATTGCCCTTGATATAGTAAAAACGCATCAACATTTTTTCATGAATACCGTAGAGACTATAGAGATTTCATCTGATTTTAATGAAATTTGGCATGATCATCTATAATGATGAGATCTTGGACAAGTTTCAATTTGATTATTTGTCAATGAAAATTTTTTGAGATCTTGTTGTCAAATTTGTTCTAGGTCAAGTTTGAATTTTATGATTTTTCGATGGACGGTCTTTTAGTTAATGCTCTTGACTAAGACTTAAAATTTTGTTTGAGAATAGAGAGTATAGTTTTTATGGATTTTTATGATACACAATTAGGCTAAGTTAAATGTTGTTTGTGAACGCTATAGAGGTGACAGTTTATGAAATATTGTGTGTTGGTTTAAAATCAACAATATATTTGGTACGATTTGACTACACAGATTGTCAACTGTCCTTGATATTCTGAAAGTTACTTGTGAGAATGATTGGCCCTTATTCCTCATCAATGAAAAGAAAAGTTTTTTGGGTACTTAAATAGTCTATAGACGTTCAGTTTGCTATCAAAAGCTATCATTATCAGTATAATTGAGTGATTATCATAATTATATAATCATTATTATTACAGTGGTATGTGCAGAAGTTGTACAGAGTGATGCTGAGTATAGATTACTGAGAGATTTGATGAAGAAATATGATAAAAGAGTCAGACCGGCTCTTAGACCTGAAATGATGTTAAATGTCACTTTTGGTGTTGCCCTGGCTCAAATCATCGATGTTGTAAGTTTTACGATGTGACTAACAAAATAGACATCAAAGCTTATTTCATTCCGATCCCAAAAAAATTATTCAGATGTTACTGTGTATTTTTTACAATGTTAAGATATAGGATTCTAGCCATGGCAAATCAATAGATTGGAAATCCAATGAAAGTTAATATTTATATGTGGTATTTGTTTTCTTCCAGGATGAAAAAAACCAAATTATAACAACGAATTGTTGGATCAACCAGGTAAGTGAACCGAGATGTAGACAAGCGTGTTCTTTTGGTAACAAAAGACACCTTTTTCTTCACTGAGCAAGCCAAACAACAAAATATCTTTAAATTTCAAAGACAGGTATTTTTCAGGTTCAAGCGTTTCCAAAATTGACATCGTATAGGGAGCGGTCAGGAAGAGCTCTAGATTCTAAATTCATTTGGCCCACTTTCGAACTAATTCCAGTTTAAAATCCTGCGTTCCTATATAATTACTTTCATTGTAGGGTTGGTTAGACAAACAGTTAAGTTGGAATCCGGCGAGGTACGATAATATAACAGTAACTAGAATACCATGGGAACTCGTATGGAAACCAGACATTTTGCTTTATAACAAGTAAGTTTTTATTTCTTAACCTACTAATATCTTGTCCAGTAAGGTAGAAGGAAAGAGTTGACACGCCTTAGTTATACCTTGGTTATAAACAAAAACTTAGCATTAATTAAATACTTTGCAGTACCCACATGGATATCCTATCATGAACAAACAAAATAAGTACTTGATCCAAACAATGATTTTGGTGTTGCTATGTTTTTCAGTGCTGAAGTTAAAGCCATAGAAAATTCATACGTCAGTACCAACATGATAGTAACCTCTGATGGCAATGTCACATGGTTATCGATGGTCATTTTTAAAAGTGCATGTAGAATAAATGTGAAATATTTCCCGTTTGATGAACAAAATTGTTCCATGTCGTTCTCATCATGGAGCTTTGACTACGAACAGTTGAATATTTTAGATGTTGGATCGGAAGGCGATACGTCCAATTTTATGGGAAGTTCAGAGTGGACCCTACATCGATACGTTCAACGACGTGAGGTCGTTACGTTTTCATGTTGTCCTGTGCCGTTTGTGTTTATAAACTATGACATTTTAATACGACGGCGTCCGCTATTTTATTTGTTTAATTTGGTGATGCCGTGTGTGTTAATTACCTTTGTTGCCTTAATGGGATTTTACGTGCCCTCAGACTCGGGAGAGAAAATATCTATGGGTATTACGACTTTATTATCAATGACTGTGTTTCTTATGATTCTTGCCGAAAACATGCCACCTACATCAGATGTTCTTCCTTTAGTAGGTAAGTAGTTTGAAGTTGAAACAAACCAAATACTACACGATGACTGTGGAACGTGTCGAGCAGAGATACGCTTTATTACTTTGTTTCATAATAATAAGAACGTAACCTCTGCTTTTGAACCACCAAAAAAGAAGGGTACAGGTATCATTTTGTAGGATCTGATATTGGTGTGGGCTCCAATCTATCATTACAGATCTGACACAGAACAGTAAACCGTAAATGTCTTGTTTACTATGTAATACAAATTAATATTTTCAGGTTTATACTATGGTATTACTATTGCTATTGTTTCGTTTGCTACATGTTTAACTGTATATACATTAAATGTACACCACAAAGGAGCAAGGGGTGCTGAGATACCCAGATATTTGAAGACTATATTCTTTAAATATGTGGCTAAATTATTATTTATCAAATTGGAACTACCCGATCCACAACCACCTGAGAAGGGTATGGTAAGTACGCTGTTTGATTTCCTCTCAGTGGGGTAAGTTGTTTGGTTCTATGTGTTCGGACCTACCATCGAAGTATCACAGCTGTGACCGTTGACAACCGTAACCCCTCAGCCAGGTTACAACATTACTGGTATGAAATAAAGTAAAATGCCGTTGACTAGAACCAAACCAGAGACAGATTCTTTTCTTAATTTCTTACACACAATATAACTCACACAGCACAGAATACAAGCAATGACAACCTAAGAATGATACTATTAAATGACACAGGTCGATATCCTTTTCTTTTATTTAACCATTTTTTTATTTCCTCTTTCAGCATAAAATTCCCCAAAATGACTATTATATGAGATATGAAAATGATAAGATGCCAGAAAATGGAGGGTTATCTCCCCGTTTTACAAGGAAAATAGCACCATCTGCATCACCAGGAGACAGTAACACCGAAAGACAATTCATTCGGGTACTTCAAAAAGTTTATCAGACTATCGAGAAAAACGAAATGAGATTGGCTGAGCAGGATCGACGTGACAATATCAAACAAGAATGGCAACAATTGGCTTTTATATTTGACCGATTATTCATGACGCTATTCGTTCTTTCAACAATCTGCTACACTCTTTCAATTATCTTGCCGGGCGCTACTACCACAATATTTGAAGATTAAGGTCAAGAACATTGGTGTTTGAACAGATGTTTGAAACATAGCCTGAAAAATCCCATGGAAAAAGATCAACATTAGAACTTCCATTTTATACTATATATACAAATGTTGTTAAGTGATATTTCGGACATGTGGAGTAACTGTATGTAGAGATTTTTGTGGTAGAAGTAAAATGCAAAGCGTATCTTTGTTAAAGTATATTCAATCAGCAGGTTTCTCAATCAGATGAATGTTGAGACAACGAACAGATGCGATTCGATTTAACTGAAATATGATCATCATTTGTAAATCGTATTCAATAGCAGAACATTAAAGTTTACATTTTAACTTTAAGTGTTGATAAACTGTGGATTGACATTATAATAAAACATCGAATGGTTGTAATTCATTTGAAGATATATTGTGCAAAATGTCTATGATACAGATTGTGCAAAATGGCTATGATCATTGCATGAAGTTGAGGTACACAGTGACAAAAACAACGAATAAACGAGATTCGGCTCAATCAGGACAATGAATTACGATTGTGTCACGATTTAGATATCAGTATCGAGAAGTAGGGATTTAAAAAACTTTGTAAATAATATTTGTGTTATAATAGAAGGATTCTCTTTTCAGTTCAATGATTACTTTTTGAAGATTGTTCTCTATCTGGAAAATATTGTACAAGGATAAGTTATACCATAAGTGAACCATTCAAGGGTTGTAAATAAAAAATATATATTGAAGGATATGTTTGAGTGTGCTTGATCGCACAAAAGATCGGATCAAGAGTGTGTGCAACAAACGTTTTTATTTCCACTGCTGTTTATTGCTTTGAATGTGTTTATCTGTGTGTTTTATTATTTTATCGATTTGTATATAGTGCTTTAAGACGAAAATCAACCTTATTTTTTTTTCACAAAACTGATTTCATGGAAATTCTTCTTACAAAGTTTCAAATATAAATATTGGAACAAATAAAATATACTATAAACCGTTTGCAAGAATCTTTGTTTTTATTTCACTTTTGGGCTATGTGAAATATTTAAAGTATCTTTTCAACAAAATATATTTATAGTAAACAATTAGCACTCTAAATACTAATGATTTTGCCTGTCTATTAATGCTTTTTTTCGATTTATATTGATTTTTTCAACTAAGAATGTGAAGTAATCGACCTGAATATGATTTCTTTAAGGCTACAGGTCCATGAATCTACTTTTGACTGAACTATTACGTTCAAATCGGTTCTCTCTCTGTCATCTATCGAAATCCTGTAAAGGATTACATAAAAAACATACAAAACGGCGCTAGCTCAATTATATTTTTTTCTTCGGTAGGGAATGTTTGCTGCGCCTTAAATAATGATTAATTACTAAATTTATAGTTCACAGAAAAGAAATAAAGAAAGGTATACGTAAATGCTTTTGCTGTTTGGTGATTGTTATTGTTCTTGCTTAATTGTTTATGAAATTGGTGTTTTCATAAAGATTTTGAAACTTCAATATGAACTAATTACTCTCTTCATTATGTTCAAGTGTCATACATTATTATCAATACAAACCTACTTATAGTTTCTTTAACCAAGTATCGGAAATAGCAAGTTTTGAATGTATTTACATCATATCTTAGTTTTATGAAATGTCCATGATTTTACAAAAACACAATACAAGTGGTTTGAAATGGTGATAGAATTTACTTATTTTTTTGATGACATGGCATGTTCATTTTAATAGGTCCACGTGAAATTGCCCTTGTTCTTGAAAACGCGTTCAATTATTAGCTTGTAACCACTATAGAAGGTTCAATTCCTGACAGACTTTGACAAAATTTGGTGTGAGAGTTTGTTATCACCCAGGAATGAACCTTATTTTATATGAGAAAAATCGACAAATATATAGTATGAGTTATTGCCTTCGTTCTTGAAAACATGTTCAATTTTAAGCTCGTAAACACTCTAGAACATGGATGAGTCCTATTGAAAATCAAAAGCTATTTTATCATGACTTTTTGACCATGTACTTGAAAACGCTTTCAATATATTTTGCTCGTAAACATTTAAAGGCTCGATTCTTCTTCTAATACTATTCAGTTTCACCCCAAAAAGTTTCATAGAAGTGTACGACTGAAGGTCAAACATTTCTTAGGCCTATGGGTGATTGTTACTTTGCTGCCAAATTTTTCTATTATAAATCAAAGTTGCCAGTAGGCGTCATATGTCTTGCCTAGCAAGCTATCTTTCGTTAAAAGGTTAAAGCTACGATGAATTGTTTTATCTGTGGGCCAGACCTGTACCTTCTCGGCGACCACTCGCTGACTTTGAATCCTCATCCTCCTCAAGAATCGTTGTATGGTTGTTCCTGCTTATATTAACAAACCACAAGTACCTCTTGACTAGGTTTGCATCGGCAACAAAAGAGTCATCATTTTTCCATCGTTAATTTACGTACAAACAATTTAAGATGTCCCTTTGTGAGACTCCATACATGAAATTAAATCTTCCCTAAACATATTCAGTATAAGGGAAATGAATTGGAAAATATAAACATAGCAATTTTCATTTTCGGGGGTTGATTTGGGTTTCGAATATATGTAAATATTCGAAGGTACTAGAAATTCCTTCAAAAATACCTCAAACTAGGAATTTCACTATTTATTTTGCAGAGTCTCAAGAAAAGACGAGTTTTCAAACGCAATTTTTCTCAACACACATAGATTTGAATGATCAATTTTCTACGATGAGCTGTGAACACTATAATTACTGATTAGCTGAGCTAAAAAACATCAGTTTCTGAGACTAAGGTAGATTGGTCAAACGGATGTCGAACCTGTCCCTTAAATAAATCTTCATTGTTAATACGAAAATCATAAATTAAAAAAGAATCAATCAGTCAATCTAAATAAATAATGAATAATGAACATTTACTAATGTTCCACAATCAAATGTTTTCTCATCTTCATATTTAAATACATGTATAATATAGAAAGTTAGCTTGTATCTAGAAAAGGGGTATTTAGATGTCCTTATGTGATATAATTATCAATGTTTGACTAGATTATCTAATGGTAATTTCCACAAAAGTAACAGCATAGACGTTAAAATCAGGTAACCAGGAAATAGATGATCGACCACTAAACTTGAAGTCGCCATTAACATTTGTTGAGGTACAAAGGGAGTTTTCAGCGAACCACCAGCCCGATTGCATTACTTCTGGACAATTGTATGAGCCATTATAACGATCGTATGTTGAAAAAGGTTGACCTTCTGCTTCTAGATTTGTCTGCCTCATTCCTTCTTGACAGGAACTCATATCTGTGACATTGCTAAGCCTTCCTAAAGAAATTCGGAAACCATCATCTTCATCAGTAATTCTCAATTCGCTGTACAAATTTACACATGTAAGCAAAGAATTTCTTACCACGACTTGAAAGCTTGCGTTTCGTCCGGGTTCATTTACCAACAAATAAAGCTTTTGAAGACCAAGCCAGTAACCGCTTAAAAGGCTTCCAAAACCATCTCGATACTCTGCCCAGGATTTGTTAAACAGGTTACAACATACTGAACTGTACATCCTTAAAGATACCAATACCAATGGTTTTGGGGCCGTCCTACAATATATCTGAAATGGTTTTGTTGCTAGTGTAGGCTGTACGAACATCAACTTAATTGCATTATCGTTCATTTCTGGTATCTCTGATGCATGTGTACAATCTGAAAATGGAAGAAGACATAAACATAACAGCGTTGTAAGCATGCAGTATATAATATATACTTTGATTTATCATAAAAATGGGATATTTCACTTACCTTTCACAATATTTTCACAGTGAGATCCATAAAACCCTGATTGACAGGTATAAGTGCCATTTCCATATTTAAGCGATTTCTAAAGAGAGACAAAGAAGTAAATCCAATTAATACAGGATTAGGATACACTACTCGTATATAGTTTACTAAAAAAAGTTATAAAACTCGTATATAGTTTAATAAAAAAAGATATAAAACTCGTATGTAGTTTACTCTATAAAACTACAACTCGTTTATAGTTTACTAAATGAAATTAGAATTAGCATGTACATGCAGTTTATTATATGAGATATACCACTCGTATGTAGTCTACTTTATAATTTCAACTCGTATATAGTTTTTTATATAAAACTACAACTCATGTATTTTTTACAATATAAAACTGCAACTCATGTATTGTTTAATAAATAAAACTAGAGCTCGCATACAGTTTACTAAATGAGATTAAGCACTTATACATAGTTTACTGTATATAAAACTACAACTCGTATATAGTTTATTAAATGATATATATCACTCGTATGTAGTTTACTATATAAAATACAAATCTTATATAGTTTACTAAATAAGATATACATTTACCACTCGCATAAATACTAGTGTTGAAACGGTTAGTGAATTTTACGAACCGGGTAATCGTCGTCAATAACCATTTGTTACCCGGTTAATCCCGGTAAATTACTAAAGATTATAATAGGAGTCAAGGACCGCTAAAGTAACTTAAGTGTAAATGAGTACCAAGGAAGATTTTAGCTAGTTCTCTGGGAATGGTCGGCACAAATCGACAGATACCAAACAAACCATTGAAGCAGACGCTTCAATGTAAGATTACGAGCGGGCCTGATAGAGTTCAGACGGACTAGCGCCATTGTCACTCATTGCTATATTCTCTAACAGATCAAAGGTTTTTATACCAGTTGTGGGGTCAGTGTAATGAGTGTATCTCATTGAAGTCGCCGCGAATCAGTGTACTGGTTCCACAACTGGCATAAAACTATTGTTGCAATGAATCCGTACTCATGAATATTAATAAGCTTGAAGCTGATTGACAGGCAAGAAGAAACAAACAGCCAATTAGAGAAGAGTTAATAAAAAGTAATACAATCTTTATAACTGTTTTATTCTACGCAACTCGTACCCGATTGAAATAAAAAAATAATAACAAAACTTATTAAAACACTAGAAAATGCTTAAAAAACACTGTGTTACATTTCCGCAATACAATAAAACGTGTCGAACGTCTGATAATGATTACAGTGCTTATTTGTTTAACCTAATTAACATAACGGTGCACACGACGACTGCGATCTTCCAGAACGAGTAATTAGTTGAACTTATATAAAAAAAAAGGGGCTTGATAATCTTGACCACAATTCTTGCAACTCGTTTGTGTTTTGATAATTGATACCCCATCTTGAATTATTAATCTCAATTATTCAATCAATAAAAAGGTGTTTATTTACTAAAGAAAACAGTTTAAAGACTCATACAGTGACGAATTTTCTGTCAAAATTGCTCTCTTTTTACTTCTTATTAAATTGACGGTTAACCGATTATTTCAAATCAGACCGGGTTATCCGTGAAATACTACCCGAATACGGTTAACTGATTAACACTAATAACTACAACTCGTATATAGTTAACTAAAAAAAGAAAATTGTATATACTTTACTGAATAAATATACCGCTTACATATTATACTAAAAATAATTTCCACTCGTATGTGAGTAAACCACTACTACACTATATTAAAAATTAATAAGGTTTATAGTATATTGGTAGACCCTAGTTTACTAATAAACAAAATATACAACTTTTGTGTATAGTCAACATGATAAAATGTACATAATAAATAGTTTACTAAAAATATACCACATAGCATAGCTTACTTAATAAATATATGACACGTATATAGTTTACTTAATAAACATACGACTTGTGCATAGCTTACTTAATAAATATATGACACGTATATAGTTTACTTAATAAATATTCGACTCGTATATAGTTTACTTAATAGATATACGACTCGCATATCATTTATTTTATAGATATACGACTAGTATATAATTTACTTAATAAATATAGAACTCGTGTATAGTTTACTTAATAAATATACCACTCGTATATAGTTTATTTTATAGATATACTACTAGTAGATAATTAACTTAATAAATATAGAACTTGTGTATTGTTTACATACAGTTTACTTTATAGATATACGATTCGTATACAGTTTACTTAATAAAATATAGGATTCGTATATAGTTTACTTACTAAAAATATAATAGTTTACTTAATACAAATATAAATTCGTATTGTTTACTTAATAAAACATAATATTCGTGTAGTTAACTTAATAGAATATACAATTCGTATAGTTTCCTATGTATATATATATATCTCACATAAAGTTTACTAAATTGAATATGCCACTCACCTTGATCATGCAAACACAAGTATGATTTACATCCTGAGACAAACAGTCATCATGAGATGTGTGCAGAACACACTCACCACCCGACTTCCCATCTGAAAACGGACAGAACTTGTAACGTTCGCATTCCTCGACTTTAGAACACCAAATCGAACACCCCAGTTGTGTCGTTGTATTCCTTGAAGCTAATTGCGGGTTTAAATCACAGTCTATGACTCGAACATCAGTCTTCAAATAGGTTACTGAATTATCTGCAACAATCAGCTCCATAAATAAAAGGGATATCAAAAATACCACTCGAATGAGTGGAAACCAAACCATTTTATAAACAGTTAAGTATAAAATGCAACAGTGGATTGAGTGAATCAGTTATCTTGGTTAGGAAATTTGTTTACATTCTGTTCAGAAACCAACAAACTGTATATTTCGGGAATTGACTCTCATAATAAAATCCCATTTAAGTGTATCCAACACAAGTCTTGGTAGTTATTTGATTGTCGCAGAAGGTCATTAAAAATTCTATCGAAGTTGTGGGCAAACCTAAGAACGTGTCAATCCAAGTTAAGCAAATAAAGTTATCACGAACGGCAAGAGAATTTTTGTTTAGGACTGTTTTTTATCCGAGTAAAACAAATTGCAATAATGGTCCGTTATATTTTTTGCCGTTAAAGGATAAAGGGATTGGTACAAATGATAAGCATAGCTGAAGCTTTGAATATATCAGTATATTTTTTGTTTTAACCAAATCCACTAAACCATATTAACGTATTAAGAAATATATCACAACAATGTCTCTACAAAATAATACGAATTGTGATAAATGAAAAATCCAATACAGTAATATCATCATTAATGACCAAATCACATTTCAGACTAAGTATTGAAGCAACAAGAAATACACGAGCAAACACTAATATATCATTTATCAAATAAGCCTTTGCTAAAAAAAGAGAGGACAGCCACAGACTATAACCAAGAGTTACTAAAGTGGTCCTTATTCGAATGTGGAGGCTTAAAAATAATGGTATGTCAACGAAATGATCAAGTTAAAACAGATAATATCGTGAATCCTTTGCAACTTCAGTCCTATAACAAGGGCGCCACGCCTGATTAATTTGCATTATTTCAAGGGTTAATGGAATGAAACTAGTTTAATACATTTTTTGAGTTAGTTCTCACAGGGGAATTAAGGATTTGAACATAAAACAAGAAAATTTAGTGTAAGTGTCTCACTTGTCTTGTCTCGAGAGAACGTAGAAAGGTAGTCAATTTAGTGATTGGTTTCGGTCAATATAATTAGAACCAATTATCTACATCTGAATTAGATCACCTGAAACTATTATTTATTGGTTTTCATTGTAAAAACTGTAGCAATTTTTAATATGGGATTTGAGTCTTCGTTCGTAAGAATATTCTCAACACACATTGACAGTATGAGATAATGATCTATGTTGAAGATTTTGACAGATCCTGATGCGGTTAGTGGATTTACAACAATATTTTTTTCACCACTGTCAACAATCAAGATATTTAAAACCCAAATGAAACTAAACCTTAAATATTTCATTATGACATGTAGTTCCGCATTCCAGTATGAAACTTATTTAATCAATCTTATTGCCATTTAATAATAGTAACCCATTAACAGTTTTAACACAACATTTAGTAGTCCTCGAGAGCTACATTAAGAAATATGTAGAAACATTATGTTTTCTCGTAAAAGAGTAGACGTTTATTGTTGAGTATTGTGTTTTTGTACGATTGACGTATCTGGTCAAGTGTTTATCAAATGCTATAGAGAAACTATAAATTTTCCCAAAATACTGAAAAAAAAAGAAACGATTTTGTTTGAATGTACATAAACTCGGTAGAACATACTTTACAGACGCGTCCATTATTACTAAATGACCTGAATGGTTATTTTTGCCAATATCTCATATACCCGTGAGCTTGGATTATCATTTTTTTTTTAACAATTGGTTGGTTTTGAATCCCAATATTAGCCTTTGAAAAGTTCATGAGTTTCCATCACAATAGGTTCAATAAAACTCTAAAATCATCATATTTATTTTATTTTCTGAAATATATCATCGATATGATTCTTTGTAATGTAACCTATACTACGACACATCAGGTACTCAAAACTCATACACTGCATCCCTTATCTACAAGTCAACTGGATGGTCCAGAAATAGAATGAAAATGCGTTACAAACATGATTGGGATATTCAATATATATATATTCTATAGGGATTCGAAGAATAATTTACAAAAACATGATGGGAATTAATTTGATAATGCCCAAAATTTAGCTTTTGTGGTGTGGGTGATATGAGTTAACATAGATAGAACAGAACAGATTTTATCAAAAAACATTACAAAAGAAGAAGATAAACTAAGTGTATTGTCTGTATTTACCAAAAGGAAATTGAACTTATTGAGGTAGAATACTATTGATCTTGGTACGAGAGCACTCTCAGCACAAATTGCAAACCATATCTAAACATTAGTTTTTTCCAAGACAACACAGAGCCACAGCTCGTTAACAATACGGGATGATAATGAAGGTAAAACTGTATACAAGGGAGAAAACTGGTATAAGTCTTGAATGATTAGCACATCGTCCAGAATATTTGTACATAGAATAAATTGGAGAGAAATATGTTGGTACCAGAAAATAAAAAAATCTTTATCTTGTCTACCGAGTTGCCTTAACTCGGTCTCTTAAATAGTTTTGACATTTATGGTTTGGATTTGGGTTTGGTGACGATTCTCATGTTTCGGACTATATGAGAGAGTTTGTTTTTATTTAAAACAAGGTATACACTGGTAGTCATATGTAATAAGATCTTTACAAATATTACAACTTGATGTATAATATGAAACTATTGTTGTCAATATCAAAGTAAATAGACATTTGTCATCAAACTCTCAAAATATTATTATCAATAAAATGTTTTAATGAACAGAATTTCCTACTGACGGAAACTCTTCTCAGACAGGCGTTTTGTCAGAAGACAAAAGCAATGTAATGATTACGTATTGGGTAGTGGGGTTACATTTGTATAATCCAAATATTTTAGGACAATATCGTGTTAGCTAGCATTTACGTCAAAACTCAAAACTGATGGTTCTATTAATCATGTGCAGTAAACTTAAGAGAAGATTGTCCAAAAATTTCAACAACCAACATATTTTCATTTGATTTCTACTCAAAGTTTTTAAGACTTAACAACTATAGAAGATGCAATGATTGTCCACTATAGCTAAATTATGACTGAATTAAATGAAATGAAATGAATGGAGTTTTACGTCCTACTTTTCCGCACCATGTGGGCTATTGAAGACGGGCAACGCCATGCAGGGTGCAATGAGGGAAATTTTGCCAGGACAGTGGCATTAGCCTGCTCTTTTTCGATTTCCAACTGTCGAGGGATCTTTAACGTGCACAGCCTGTAGCACACGGGGCCTCGGTTTATTGTCCTATCCGAACGACTAGACGCTTTTTCCATATCAGTCCCTCGTACCTGCATCAATGACAGGGGGAAACCGGGTTGAAAAATCCGAAGGTATTATCTCGACCTATGCCGGGATTGAACCCTGGACCCTCAGGTCAGCGAGCAAGCGTATGACTGAATTTGAGAAATTTAAAATTTACGTTACTTCTCGGTAAACTGTTTGATAGGCATTTAGTGATTGACACGAAATTGAATATAAGTCCATATTGATAACAATAACTTTATTTCTTAAACACAACGTTTCGATAAGATTCGATGGTCGTTATCAAGTGTACAACTAAATAGAATAAATGAAGTACCATAAAGGCAAAGCATAAATATATACAGGCATGTATCAATGGGACATAATGATAATAATGATGATGATATATTGGTTGTTGATAAAGTATGAACTATAACCATTAAATATATCAATTATAGTCCATACTTTATTAACAACCAATATATTATCATATTATCTTTTATGATCATGAAACAATACTTCTTTTTATCAAATTGTCAAAATTTTGATAAGATTTGTTTAACAATTTCTTCAATACAAATCATAATACTATTACTTTTATTGGATACATTGAATTGATGACCTTGGTCTTATAAGTTGACTAAGTATATTTGTGCCTTCTCTAAATTTTGCAAAAGAAAATCGGGATCATAAGACATTTTTGGATTAAGGTCTCTCCCAATGGGTCCATTAAGGTTTGTAACAGTACATGCTGAATCATTTGCAAACCACCACCCACTTTTCATTCTATTTGGACAATCATGTGCCTCATTGTAATGATCTTCTGTCGCGAAAGGACGTCCACGAGCTGAAAGACCTCCAGAAGCTAGTGTCCCACTACATTGTGGTCTGCTATAACCTGTGGTCAATCTTACACCCAAATTTAGAGTATAATCAGTTTTTTCATCTCCAACAATGAATCCCGAATATCTGTCTTGACAGGCATAGGTTGTATTTTGGACGACAACTTCCATGATAGGATTCCGTCCAGACAAATTTGACAACAGGTGGAGCTTTTCTAATCCAAGCCAGTAACCAGCATCATAACGCCCGAATCCATTTCTATACCAATGCCAAGTTTGGTTAAAGAGGGTATTACAGGATTTGTCAGAAACAAAGCGACGACCCATTACGAATGTATATACGATGGCCCCAAATCTGCAGTAAACCTCAAAGGGTTTGACATCAGGAGAAGGCTGCACGAAGTATTGTTTGACACTGTTATGGTTATTTATTTCTGGTATGGTAGACCCATGTTTACAATCTGGAAAGACAAAATCAATCTGATAATTATTGATGTGAATAAACAATTTCAATTCAAGCATACCGCAATTTGACAGGTTCTCCTTAGTTTTAGAGACGGGAACTGTTTTAACTATGTATATTATAATGGTTTTTCACAGATCACCGTCGAAATTTGAATTGCGAAAAATAAATTGTGAATTCGAAGAATTCCAACCTTAAACAAAATTAAAGATTTCCTATACTATATCATACGTCTTGCAATATTCCACGATTCATTTACACGATGGGTAATTTACTTTGCCAATCATTTATATTTGTATGGCCTCATCTAGAAAACTTGATTGTAAGGCCATAGTAGGTACATCTTACCCATAAATCCAAGGGGAATCGGAAGTAGTATACGTTTTCCACTTCGGTTCCTTGTTAAACATGTATAATTAGTAAGTAAGCCAAAGTTTTTGTTTTGGTTTAATTCCAGTTTCATCAACAATATCAAGGAAAATTGTCACATTGGTTCCAAATATAATTCCTTACCTTCCATAACGTTTTGACAACGAGAACCATAATAACCGGCTAAACATTTATGTGTACTATCAGTTGACTTAACAGATTTCTGTATGAAAAAATAATAATTTAGTAAATCTGTAAAAGTATAATATTTGGGAGTACGGAATGTGGTTAGTATAATTCTGACCGGCTTCAACAATCAATATTTAAAGGAGAATGAAAGAGATCATCAAAACTTTGAAGATTCATTTTTGTTAATACATTAAAACGGACAGTTCGGACACAAATGGCGTCAAACGTAGTCTAGTAGAAGTCGTTTAGTATCAGTAATACTATCTCTCTTTGGTCCATTACCAGAAAATACTTTGACATTGGCAATATATACATGTAATTTTTGAACGGAGATTGTCTTAATTACATCAGTGTTTTATAATTAACCCTCAAAACAGATTGCACTCACCTTAACCATACAAATACAGGGATGTGGATATTTTACTACCATACATTCTTGTAATGATGAAAAAATGACACACCCACCACTCTTGCCATCCTCGTAGAGGCAAAACATATATTTCCCACACACCTCCAAATTAGAACACCACAAAGAACATTCTAAATGACTTCTTAGTTTCTTGAAGAAATAAAATGGAGTATAGTCACATTCTATTTTTCGAACAATACCTGGTACATATTGGTAATCATTTTGGTTTTGAGCAACAATGTTTACAAACATACCAATTAACCAAACTACAACATGGTCAGTACAAGACATGATTGTTTTTCTCCGTTATGTGTATGTTATATCAGAAGAATTTTCCTAGATTAGGTTACTTGTCTTAAGATCAAATCGCAGGTCTCTTGGTTAAATCTCATAATATGTTAACTTGTTTCTAGGTTAAGTATTTGATGTAGAATTTAATATTTTAAATCACTAGTCATTAAGTTAAATTACAACATTGTGTTAAAACATTAAATGTGCTCTTTGGTTAAATCAAAATTGACTAATCTCTAAGTTGATTCACTAGTCTCTAGTTTCAATTGCCAGTCTCTAGGCTCAATCGCTAGTCTCTAGTTTCAATCCCCAGTCTCTAGTTTCAATCGCCAGTCTCTACTTTCAATCGCCAGTCTCTAGTTCCAATCCCCAGTCTCTAGGTTTAATCCCCAGTCTCTACTTTCAATCGCTAGTCTCTAGTTCAATCGCTAGTCTCTAGGTTCAATCGCTAGTCTCTAGGTTCAATCGCTAGTCTCTAGGTTCAATCGCTAGTCTCTAGTTTCAATCCCCAGTCTCTAGTTTCAATCCCCAGTCTCTATTTTCAATCGCTAGTCTCTATTTTCAATCCCCAGTCTCTAGGTTCAATCGCTAGTCTCTAGGTTCAATCGCTAGTCTCTAGGTTCAATCCCCAGTCTCTAGTTTCAATCGCTAGTCTCTGGGTTCAATCGCTAGTCTCTAGTTTCAATCGCTAGTCTCTAGTTTCAATTGCCAGTCTCTAGTTTCAATCGCCAGTCTCTAGTTTCAATCACCAGTCCCTAGGTCCAATTGCTAGTCTCTAGTTTCAATCGCCAGTCTGTAGGTTCAATCGCTAGTCTCTAGGTTCAATCGCTAGTCTAGTTTCAATCGCCAGTCTCTAGGTTCAATCGCTAGTCTCTAGGTCCAATTGCTAGTCTCTAGTTTCAATCGCCAGTCTGTAGGTTCAATCGCTAGTCTCTAGGTTCAATCGCTAGTCTCTAGTTTCAATCGCCAGTCTCTAGGTTCAATCGTTAGTCTCTAGTTTCAATCGTTAGTCTCTAGTTTCAATCGACAGTCTCTAGTTTCAATCGACAGTCTCTAGGTTCAATCCCTAGTCTTTAGATAAATCACGGACGTTAGAACTAAATCACAATTCTCCGGAATAAATCACAAGGCTCTGGGATAAATCACAATGTCAAATAGTTAGCCTCTAGGTTCAATTGCTAATCACATAAGTATAAATCACAAGGTTCTAGAATATATTACAAATCTCTAGGTTCAATCGCTAGTCTCTAGATAAATCACGGTGTAAGAGCTAAATCACAATTCTCCGGGATAAATCACAAGGCTTCGGGATAAATCACCAGACTACGGGATAAATCAAAAGTCGTTAGGTTCAATCGCTCGTGTCAAAGTTAAATCGCTTATCTCTAGTATAAATTGCAAGGCTTTAAGATAAATCACAAGCTCGGGGTACATCGCAAATATCTACGATAAATTTCCATAAGCTAGAACATATAACAATTTTGCCACTTCCAAATCGTACCGACCATTTCCATGTTCAAAATATGTATTTCTAAAATATATTATCCAAATTTCAATAATTTGCATTTAACAGTTCCAAAAAATGCGACTTGATTTTTTCAAATCTAAATATATTATACTCTTGATCTGAATACCACTATAAAAATTGTACCAATTTGTAAAAATGTTTTTAAAAACTGCTCCTCATTAGTAAAGTTTAGCAAAATACAATAACAATTGCAACAAAGTAATCGCGTTATATTGTAATTAGATATTTTCACGATTCATATTTCTTTTTTGATGAAGAATGACTATCTGGAATCTGCAATCATTAAAAATCTGATTTCTAATTCTGTATTCACCACCCGAGTATTTATAATTCGTTAAATAAAAAATCGAAGAAGTTATTGGTTTGTATTGATGGTAGATGACAATAAACACGCAAACGTTGCCCTAATACTATAATCCAATTAGCCGCCGTATTCTTTTTTCTAAGTTGCAGAGGAAAGACAACTTTCAAATTGATCGTATTGCATTGCAGTGTCACGAACAGTTGTGTCTGTTTTAATTGAAAATTAACTTGAAACTTCGACAACTTTACATTTGAAAATTGCGGCGATATGGACCCATTTACAGAATATAATTCGAAATTTATATGTTTAAAAGATATTATTTATTCCGTTCAAAAGCTCATTTTTTTCTAAAAGATATAAATAATATACGCTCAATGGCAGTTTTGATTTTGAATAAAGTACAGTAACAATCAGCAGTCACAAGTTCTTTTGAACATTTTGGTGCGATACTGAGTAATATCTACTAAGATTTGTCCAAATCTAGCAAGAATTCTGCCTTTATTTTAGCTAAAAAATGGAAAGCGTTTTCAAGAACAGGGTCAGTAACTCCTATAAAACATTTTTTAGTTTTTGTTATTTTCATTTGGGTTCATACATGGTGATAATAAACATTTTCACAAAATTTAGTCCGTGTTGACAAGCTCTAAAAATTGAACGCGTTTTCAAAAACATAGATAATAACTCATACTAAAGATTTTTCGATTTTTCTGCTAGTCAATGGGGTTATTCCTCGGATGATTACAAACACTCACACCAAGATTTGTCAAAATAAAGTGTTAACGGACTAAAAATGGAACGATATTCAAAACATGGACAATAACTCATAATGAATATATTTCGATTTTTCTGATTCAATAGTGTTCATCCTTGAGTGATAACAAATACACACACCAATTTTCGTCTAAATCTGTCACGAATTGTGCTTTCAAGGGCAATAACACATTTTTCGATTTTCTGATTTTCAATAGGGTTTATCCTTGGGTGATTACAAACACTCATACCAAGTTTCGTCAAAATCCGTCAAGAATTGTTCCTTCTGGAGTGTTTACGAGCATTTCAAGAACAAGGATAATAACTCATACTTAATATTTTTCGATTTTCTGATTTTCAATAGTGTTCATCCTTGGGTGATCATACCAAGTTTCGTCAAAATCAGTCAAGAATTGTACCTTCTAGAAACTCAGTGTTTACGAGCAATTGTGGACGGACCGACGGACGGGCATGGGTGACGACAATATACGCACATTTTCAACAAGGCCTGATTTGGAAAACTGGGTTGTAGTAGATTTATTTGGGCGAAAGTTTTCTTCAGTAGTTCAAACATGTATCAGCTATTTTTTTGGTAAACAATTTCTTTTGCCCAATAGTTATAAAGATAGCTTGCAGCAAGGTAATATACGCCCACTGGCAGCTTTGATTTCAAATAATAATATTTTTCGATTTTATCGCTTTTCGATAAGGTTCATCCTTGGGTGATAATATACAATTTCAGCAAGTTTTGTCAAAATCCGTAAAGAATTGTGGCTTGTAGAGTGTTTACGAGCAATTGTGGATGGACGGACAGACCGACGGGGCGTATGTGGGCGTATAAAAATGTGCTTTAGGTGGGATTTGTATACCCTTGCACCCATTGATAATGTTTGATCAACGAACTTGACTGACACCAACTGAAATAAGTAGGTCATCGAAGTCCAATTTTCTAAAAATTTATTTGTGACTTTTATTTTTAAACTTAGTTTCTTGTCCTCCCGGTGGCACAAAACAACATTTTACAGTTCACTTAACAATTATTAAATATCCCGTGATACATCATAAATTAACACACCCTTGACAGTGTGACCGGAAGTTAGAAACTGTCACTATTGTTACCTCCAATATGAAGAATCAATAATAAAAGTCGTTCAAAAAGGATTGACAGAGAAGAGGAGAAAGTCAATGACTTCAGCACTCATAACTCTATTAAAGTCATTAGAACCTTTATATTTAGAGATTTATATTCTGTGTCTTAGCTTTAAGCAAATAATAACTACTAGTAGCTTAAAACAGTTGCATTTCTACTAGTAGGAATCATTAAATGGACCGGCCGAGGCCACATAATTTGAAACTGGGTCGTTTATGGTCTGAGATATAATTATTGGATTTGTAAGTTTGTTTATCCTTTCCATTGTCCTAAATCCAGCTAAACTCAAAATCAAATTATAAAATGTAAATGATACATAATCCCGTGTGTTACCATCTATATTGCCCTGTCTTGTGTTCGATAAACTATATTGATTGGCTGGAGATGGTACCAATGTGGTCTTTGATCTATAAGGTCAGTATTGAGCGGTAGATAATTTCCAATAAGCTTACAGTTTAATTGTAATATTTTCTTAAGATTTCTTAAGAAAAATTCTATAATTAATTTTTCAAAAATGGATTTCTTACTCAATCAATAAACAATTTAAGACTTTTATTTCCAGTTTAATAATTAGAATATGGAAAATAACATATACAACTTCGCGGGAGTGAAATGATTTTGGATTTCGATGTTGTTTTACAGGGCGGAACACCTTAACTATCGCCGCGTGTAGACGATTCAATGAAAATAAATGGTAAGTCACGCAATTGAAGCGGTACGCCATATCGTCACAGCGATGCGAAATTGTCATGGTCGCGGTAGGATTTGAAATCATACGTGACATATACAGTCGAGTAACCTAATTTCGTGGAAACCTATTATTCGTGGATTTCCGGAAAGGATTAATAATTTACATTAGCGACCTTGCGCGACCTCCGCATTAGTTTGTTTTAATAAACATAGCTTTTCTCTACAATATCAGCTAGTAGAATGAATTCAGTAGTTTCAAGCAAGGTAAAATGTATTAATGTATACTTTGACAAATACAAAATGGCGGATTTCACTTAATACCAAACGTCACCATTTTTTATCAGCCGAATTTCCCTATAATCCAAAGCGGTAATCGGAATTCCAAATGTCGTCTGCTAGAATGTAGTCCAACGAATAAAGTCACGTGATCAACTAGCGGATTCCGTGTCCGCAGAAAATTTCTATGGAACACAAAGTGGACCATATTCTTATGTTGTTTCGGTGACTTTTAGCAATAAATCACGCTACGTATCTTATTTTGTCAGTCACTATTTTTTTTTAAATCGTGGTTCTTGGAAGGAATTGTCACTAGTTATAATGAATTGATATTAAAGATAAATACTAAGAGAAGTTTATTATACCACCTGGTTTCCATACAACGTGTTTTTCCAGACTTATTTATAGATCAAACATTGTACACGAAAATAGGTGACGCATTCTGCCGCCATTGCCGAGTTGGTTGCTCATGAAATCTGGTTCAAAGTGAAGGATTCATAAAGAAAATTGAAATAAACCAATTTTAATTATTTTGTAGAATATCTCAGGAAACACCTAAGACATAAAAAAAAATCTCATTTTTTTTAACTTTGACGTAATTCGGTGTTGAATCCTTATATCCACGAAAATAGGTTACACCACTGTATATTATCAGAGATCGATTGTTCATCACTTAATTCAAATTACTGTCACGTGTATGCTATTGTGCTAATGTAACCATTTCGTGTTAAGTTACGTTCAGTGACGATGCGATCTTTCGTGTAATTCGTAAGTGCGTTTTGATCTTTATATTCTTTTAGAGTACTTTTCCATTGAATATGTACACACCATGAAAATATCTTTTAAAAAGTATCATACTGTGGGTCATGGCAATCTGCCATGAAAAAGTTTGTTTATGTAGGGGTAAAACGCTTGTCCACAGCTGTTCATTAAAATTAGCAGATACATATTATTTAACATGGGAAAATCTGTCGAATTTGCTTTAAAATTCCATTATCAATACTGGGGTACCTAGACGACACACCAGTGGACATTAGGGTAGCATTTTGAGGAACTGGAATTATTTTAATTATTGTAATTTCAGTGAACATTGAACTTAGTCCTTTGATCACTTACCTAAGGTTTCAGATATCCATTCTAGCAAAAATCGAGAAGGTAACTTGTGATGATTTTCAATCGGTTTGGCATGTCATCGATGTCGGACGGAAGGACTGACATTGAAAAAATATCTTGGTTGGATGGAACAGAAAACCGAAACCCACGGATTCTCTAAACAGTTGGGAACACTGTCGAATTTCCACTGCTGAACTTTAGTTGTCTGTCTTTATATACCCGCTCAATCGGATATTTTTGTATAAAACTGAGCCTGTATGTGGTAAACCAATAGTAGCCCACAAACCAGGACAAAACATAAGACAAATAATGTATGCGGTAATATATTTCCATTATTATTCTTAAATTTTAAAAGCATAAAATATACACATGAAAGCAGAGAAAAAACCATGCAACAGGTGCGCCATTTTTGGGGGTTGATTTTAGTCTTGAATAAATAGTCTTCAGAAGAACTAGAAATGTACGAAAATCACATAATTCCTTCAAAATATCTCAAACTAGGAATTCCATTTCTTATTTCTATAGATGCCTTTTCTATTATAGTGGTGTCTCAAAAAAAGAGGCGGATTATTCTGGACATTTGAAGGCTCAGATTTCGATGGTGAGCTGTGAACTGATTGGCTTAGCTAGAAAAAAAATCTCGTTTCTGAGACGAAGGCGTAATTGGTCAAAAAATGGAGCATCTGTTGCCTAAATGTTCATTTAGAAACGGGTAATATACATAAAGGACATGAGAGCAATTGAAACAGTAACAACCCGGCATGTGGTCAAAAGTTCAGAACTTTTATCAGTTGTATATGTTGCAGTAAAATTCTGCGTGAAAAACACGTAGCAACGGGAAATAATATCAGTATCAAGACAAATTTGACTGCAATATCTTAGATAACCTTCAAAATTGTCCTCATATAAAACTGATATAAGAGTCAGTGCAGAAATATTCATAAAATGATCTTCATCCTCTTTGGATTTAAAAATATAATCCATTCTGAAATTAACTATGGCGGTATTGGCCGACATTTTGTAATGGGAAGAGCATGTATGGATATATGATGTTTGAGAAAATGGAGATTCAACTATCCTATTAGATAGCGTGTCCAAAAATATTTTCAAATTAAATTCTGAAATCATCTTAGTGAAAGTCAAATTAAAGTAAAGATAAGCGCAAGATTGGCCCAGACAATTTCCTTTCTCAAAGAAATATTTACTCTTGCATTTGGATATTTCACAGTTATTAGTCGACCAATTTTGGCAGGTTAGTTCCTTCCAAAAGAAGGGAGTATAATCTGTTGCTTGTAAGATAATCAAATTGTTATCTGGTGCCGTCATCATCATGCTAAAAACCCTGTTATTCTTGTGAGGCTGTTTGTATTGATGTAAGCACGCAATACTGGCGTTAGTATTACAAAAAACACATGCATCATTTCTAAACACAGTTTTTGTCTGGTTTTTGTCCTGAGTAAACAAGTAATAATTCCTCATTTGAGAACAGTGTAAAGCATCTACTGTGGATGTACCTTCTGGGCAAGCTGCAACTATATCGTGGACACAAGTTCTTATCTTCATGTAAAAAGAGGGACGAAATTCGATCAGTTTCGGGAACTCTTGGGTAGCTTGATTTGGGTCTGCATTTTGAACTTGAAAAATAACTTGCCAAAATTCTGCCTGAGATTCCAATAAAGAATAACACTGAAAACAGAACACGTTTTTAAAATGCAGTGAGGTATCTTTTAAGGTGACCGGTACGTATCCTCTGTTGTAACACAGCTTTCTTAAACTTGGATCTTTATTTTCTGACCAACAACTAGATATAACATCATAAGAGGTGGAATATAGAGATGGCGTACATTCAATTTGTGCTCCAATAAACTTTGAAAACATTTGTTTAGCTTCGAAGTAATTGGAATGACAAACATCAATATAGTCGTCACAACAGCTGTGGTAAACTTGACAAAATTCATCACAAGAACAAAGCTTAGATCGGAATTGGCCACATAATCCAGCACATGAGGTACAGCGTTCAAACTCGGTAGTTCCTTGACAAATCAAAACGTCCTCCAGCTGGTCATGTTCCATACAAATCTTATCATATTCAAAATATTTATCATAATTTACCGAATCGCTTGTAAATGATTTATTTGTCTTTTGTGTCGTAGATTTGAATGGCACATTTTTCGTTTCATTCAATTGCTCAGGCTCCTTTATGGACGCAGATTTACTGTAAGGCTTTTCTGTTACACTAGTTTCTCCGAGTAAAAATAATGAAGATTTCATTGACACTTTTGGCCTGTTTACGGGAGTTATATTTTGATATCTTATTCCAAAACCCATGTAAAAGTCTCTGCGTGCATCTCTTAAGTTTGATCTTTTTCCTGCAACTCCCAAGTTAAGTTTAATGTTTAGGTTCCTGTTTACAGGTTCTATCTTGTGGTTGCTGGTAAAAGGTTCAGTATTAGAGTTGCTGGTTACACGTTCTATCTTGAAGTCGCTGATTACAGGTTCCACGTGAGAGCTGCTGGTTACATGTACCATGTTAGAGTTGTTGGTTACAGGTTCCATGTCGGGGTTGTTGATTAGAGATTCTGACTTGTGGTCACTGGTCGCAGGTTCCTTGTTAATGTCGCTGGTTACAGGTGCCATGTTGGGGTTGTTGGTAACAGGTTCTATGATAGTGTTGATGGTTATGGGTTCCGTGTTAGAGTTGCTTATTATAGGTTCTACATGAGAGTCGCTGGTTACAGTTTTTACATTAGAGTTGCTGGTTACAGTTTTTACATTAGAGTTGCTGGTTAAAGGTTTTAAATTAGAGTTGCTGGTTACAGGTACTATGTTGGGGTTGTTGGTAACAGGTTCTATGATAGTGTTGCTAGTTACGGGTTCCTTGCTAGAGTTGCTTATTACAGGTTCTATGTGAGAGTTGCTGGATACAGGTTTTTCTTTGGAGTTGCTGGTTACAGGTTCTCTCTTAAGGTCGCTGGTCACAGGTTCCATGTTAGGGTTGCTGGTTACAGGTTCCATGTGAGAGTTGCTGGTTACAGGTTTTACATTAGGGTTGCTGGTTACAGGTTCTGTCTTAAGATCGCTGGTTACAGGCTCAATGTTAGGGTTGATGGTTACAGGTTCCATGTCAGGGTTGCTGGTTACAGATTCTGTCTTGTGGTCACTGGTCGGAGGTTCTGTGTTAAGATCGACGGGTACAGTTGCTATGTTACTGTTATTGGTAACAGGTTCTATGATGGTGTTGCTGGTTAAAGGATCGATGTTAGGGTCGCTGGTTATTGATGTTAAAAAGGATGAAGAATTTGGCATTTTACTTTGCTTACCCCTGTAAAACTTCATATGATGGTTCAATTCTCTGATAACTGAGGAATGAGAACTAGTTGTCTTTGAAATCGCTGTGTAATTCCTTGATTTCAAAGTTGGCTTGGTGTCATAATCAATTACTTCCATTGGTTTTGTTGTAATATTGCTCTGTCGCAATTCTTTGGAGCTCTTCCCAATCCTATTGATGTTCGCTGGCGCCTTGTGATCGTAACCGTTCAACGAAGCGTGGAAGAAAACTATAACTGTAATCAGTTTATCAGTCACCATGTTCTGTGTGTTACTTATAGGAGATTTGTGTCTGAAAGACCTCGCATCTAACAGTTTTCTATCACTAATGACAGAATGGATGAGTATCGCATGCATAAGAGCCACGAAATGGCTCCAAAACAGTCATTTGTTTATAGACTTAAGTTGATTCTAATTTTATAGCCTAATGGTGTGGTGTTTTAAAGCATCATATTTTAGCATTAATATCCAATGACAATACAAATAAACTCTGTTTTTAATCCATATTTTCTTTTCGATGTAATATTTAACGACAGAGCATATGAGATAAAAAAAAAAGGCTTTTGGTATGATCTTATAAGGAGTAAATTGTGAATTAAGTAAGTTAATATTAAAATACGTATGATATTGCTTGAATTATTGAGTCACGTAATATCGCAATCAGTAGGACAGCATGGGGAATTTAACACTTGTTCAATACTCAAATAGGCTACGTATGATATTACAGTGGCCGTTCTAGGAAACAGTAGTTGCGGGGCCGAGCAGGGGACACATAATTTCCCAGGGTGGGGTAGAATGTAAAATGATTTCAAATTTGAAAGTATGGGCGGTGGTGGATGGGTGCAAAGCCGGGTCGGCATATTTTTCGGGGGGCGCCGCGCTGGCCCTCCCGTAGAAACGCAACTGGTAAACATTGACGTGCCGATGCTTGGCGGATATGAGAATACGCGAAATATTTACACCGTAGTGTACATCATCAGGAAATATGAATATTTTAAAATGGATTGGGTCTCAATTTCACAGACAATATTCCTTGTAAATAGAGAACATTATTGTAATGTTAAAAGGAACTTGGAATATTAATGTAAATATTAAAGGTTAATTATGATTTTAATGAACATATTAAAGATATATATACTAAGCTTCGATCAATAACTAATATTTGATGCCAGCACTCATTTTCCAATTATAATTCATTAAAACAATGACAAAGTGAGAGTTCTGTGATCTCGACTGCAATGTCGGCTATGGAAATACAGGCAGGGTGACAAAATGCGTTGTGGCCGTATAAAAAAGAAGATACATGTATCAATCATTTAATCAATCACAAAATATTGGAACATTTTATATTTTCAGGCTACATCTCATTATAAAGATGGGATCTAGACAATCAAACAATAATTATTTTAGAAATCGTATTGGATAGCAACTGGAAGAATATTGTAAAAATATTGAGGTCTATTTCGAGTTGTAAAATTGATAAATCAATTTTACAGTTTAACTTCAGCATTTTTCACATTTATACAGTTTATCATACATTTACATGAACAAGATGTTACAGGACACTCTAGATGATCTCTGAAATATAAATACATTAATAGAGGTTAGAACAGGGATACTAAACTGGCCATGCGCCAGTTTAACGAGATTGGTTTTCACCCGGAGAGGTCTAGGGAGGCTTGGGCCCATCGACCAGGCAGTGGCGGAGCAAAAGGGGGGTGGGGGGGGGGGGGTTCTTCTTTCGAAGAAGGCGGCAGAATGGACGAGGACGCATGGCAGCTTTGATTTTGAATAAAAATATTTAGCAGTGCAGTAACAATAATCACCAGTACGAAATATTCAACCTTCAGTCATACACTTCTTTTGAACTCTTTAGGGCGATACTGAATAATATTAAGTATGAGTTATTGCCCTAGTTCTTGAAAACGTGTTCAGTCTTTGGCTCGTGAAAACTCTAGAAGACAAAAATTCAATCTTCAGCGCGGTACTGAATAATAAAACCAAGTTTTGTCAAAATCCGGCAAGAATCGTGCCTTCTAGAGTTTTTACGAGCTACAAATTGAACGAGTTTTCAAGAACAAGGGCAATAACTCATACTAAATATTTTTAGATTTTTCTGGTTTTCAATAGGCTTTATCCTTGGGCGATTACAAACACTCACACCAAGTTTCATCAAAATCCGTCATGAATTGCACCTTCTAGAGTGTTTACGAGCGTTTCAAGAACAAGGGCAATAACTCATAGTAAATATTTTTCGATTCTTCTGATTTTTAATAGGGTTTATCCTTGGGTGATTACAAACAACCATACCGAGTTTCGTCAAAATCAGTCAAGAATTGTACCTTCTAGAGTGTTTACGAGCAATTGTGGATGGAAAGACGGACCGACGGACATGGGTGACGGCAATATACGCTCCACATCTAATGCTCCGGGCCTGGCAAAATTTCGTTGTTTGCTGCCCTATTTAGTTAACTGAAGCCAAATGTAGAATGTAAAAGCCAATTACAAATATGATTGGCTGCTTACCTAAACCATGTAGTGATATGAGAGGCGTGGCCACCATGACGACATGATTGACACCAAGTGAACCAATCAGCTAACTTTGTTAACTTATTTCTCTGATCTACAAGAAATACAATGTAATTTATGAGTTTGATTTTCATATCTTTAAATGTTTGCAATACAAATGTTGAGATAAAATTTCAGGTTACTATTAATAACTTAACATTTTAAAATTGTCATGCAAACTTAATTCAAGTAAATTCATTCTTTGTATCAACAGCCACTTAACATTCACTGGTGTCTCTTTCCAGATTCAGTAATAATCCAGGGTATGATTGATAAAAAAGTAATACAATATTGGGCTCTTACCTCTATTGTGAAAATGACCCATTCCTGAGGCTGTACCTAGGTTATTCAAACATACAGAACAGCGTGGTAAAGACTTACGACAGTTGGGACATGTCTGAAAAGATAGCTTGCCAGGCAAGGTAATATATGCCCACTGGCAGTTTTGATTTTGAATAAAAATATTTAGCAGTACAGTAACAATCACCAGTATGAAATATTCAACCTTTTGTCATACACTTCTTTTGAACTCCTTAGTGAAATACTGAATAATATTGAGTATGAGTTATTGCCCTTGTTCTTGAAAACATGTTCAATTTTTAGCTCGTGAAACTCAAGAAGGCAAATATTCAATCTTCAGCGCGGAACCTAATAATAAAACCAAGTTTTGTCAGAAATCCAGCAAGAATCATGCCTTTTAGTGTTTAAGAGCTAAATTTGAAAGCGTTTTCAAGAACAAGGGCAATAACTTCTGATTTTCAATAGGGTTCATCCTTGGGTGATTACGAACACTCAAACCAAGTTTCATCAAAATCCGTCAAGAATTGTGACTTCTAGAGTGTTTACGAGCTAAAAATTGATGAGTTTTCTAGAACAAGGGCAATAACTCATACTAAATATTTTTCGATTTTTCTCATTTTCAATAGGGTTCATCTTTGGGTGATTACAAACACTCATGGTGAAGAATTGTGTCTTGTATAGTGTTTATGAGCAATTGTGGACGGACCGACTGACGGACGGACGTGGGTGACATCATATACGCCCCCATTTCATGTGGGCGTATAAAAATTATATCATTAATGTATGTTTTTTAATATAGTTTTCTTATTCAAAGTAACATTGCAATATTGTCCTATTATTCAACTGAAAACAAAAATTTGAAATCATATCAAAACTTATACTCTCTGAATTTATGATTGGAGTAATATACTAACTAATTTTCATTCTGAGGCTTACAAAAAACAATTGACATATTAAATGTTATGTTCATTAGGTGTATTCTCCAGTTTGACATAAAGTGTTTAACTTTGCAACAGTTCAATAACATTAGTATATAACAATGTAATATGTGTAAATACCTTTGGTTTATGAATGGCATGACTACTGATACCAGCAGGTAAACGTGATCTCTGCATCTGCATTGTGGTAGTACTATTGATAGACTTACTGCAGAAATTACATCGGACATGAACTTGAGAGGCATTCCTTATACCAGGATCAAACTTTGTTCTATTAATATCAAACTTAGCTCTGAAATGGATAAATTGCTTTAAGATGAGCTTTCTTATTTCTGAAATTAAGCAACCTATTTGATTAATTGGTGTTTCTAATGAATTATCATGTATTCTTAATCATATCATTATGTTCTTATTGCATGTAATTAATAGTTTTAACCTATCATAAAAGTCCATGTAAGTACAGTCTGGATAAACAAAAAAGACTTTGGAATTTGGAATTCTGCTGGTAATTCTCAGCTAATTTAGCTAATTATGAATTAATTATGGACATGTAAGACAAACTGGTATTTTTCCAAGTTATTAGAACACCTCTACTTTCTATTCATATACGTATTACCATTTTCATTTTCATAAATGAAAACAAGGGAACCCATCTTTAAAGGTGAACTGCAATGAAACCATAATGCTACTGTACTATGGTTCTTCAGATGCATGGAAATCATGATTTATAAATGTAAATCCAGCATCAGTGTAGTAAAGTAGAAAATCTTAAACAATTGCTGGCAGTATATTATGATAGACTTGTGAACCTACCTTATATGATAAAGTTTCCATTGGTCCAACAAACTACGATATCTACAAATAAATAATAACATCACATAGTCACTCCACTTCATTGCATTATTCAAATTCACAGAGAAAGATAGAGAAAACCATTTTTTACAATAACTTTGGTTTCTGTCTATCCTCTTGGCATTGATTTTCCTTGGGATTATCCATACTCATTTACTGCTGGGCCTCCACACATCATATGCTCATTTCATGCAGCTGACAATTAGTGTTCACATATAAAATCATCATCAAGACAGTTGTCTTGGGAATTGGGATAGGGGTGGCCTTTCAAATTATTGGACTAGGCATATAAGAACATGAAACACATTTCATTTACAAATAATGCAACGAAAAGTAGATAGCTTGCCAGGCAAGGTAATATATGCCCACTGGCAGCTTTGATTTTGAATAAAAATATTTAGCAGTACAATAACAATCACCAGTATGAAATATTCAACCTTCAGTCATACACTACTTTTGAACTCTTTAGGGCGCTATTGAATAATTTTGAGTGTGAGTTATTGCCCTTGTTCTTGAAAACGTGTTAAATTTTTAGCTCTTGAAAACTCTAGGAAGCAAATATTCAACCTTCACCGTGGTACTGTATTGTCAAAATTCGGTAAGAATCATGCTTAAGAGCTAAAATTTGAAAGCATTTTCAAGAACAAGGGCAATAACTCATACTAAATATTTTTTCGATTCTTCTGATTTTAAATAGGGTTCATCCTTGGGTGATTACTAACACTCACACCAAAAAAAAGATAAAAATAAAAACATCATATTGTAGCTATACCTACCCTTCTATCCACATGTTAACTTTCTCTAAATCACTTCTATCTAATGAATTAGGACAACAGTATATTGATATTAAAGCTGCAGTTTGGATGTCGTCCGTAACATCTACAAATCTACTAACAAGTTCAACACCTTCACTGGTAAATCCTAAATAATATAAATAGCGTGAACAACAAGAGAAGGGCATCACAGAATAGATTGTAAATTGATGAAATAACAGTGAATCTTGTAATGATAGAACTAGAGATTTTAAGATCAGAAATACCTGTTAGTAATAAACCTCTTAAATCTCCATTTGCTTTTAGATTATTGGAGAATTCATCAAAATATTTATGTAACTGAAAGTAAAGAATTTAATGTTTGTAATATATTGAAAACAGTGATAGAAGTACTTACAATTTCAAAATAATAATTATGTATTCAATTAATAAGAATAGTATGAACATTTTCAGTTACTCAACAAGGGCCTCAGTTGTACATAAACAAGGCTCAAGAAGTACAGGCCAAAACCTCTTTTCATAATATCTAAATATACAGGTCATTCAGACCAATAATCAGTTTTGAGAATGATATTGCCTTAATTATGATATTACCTTATCATCTGGTAGGTAGATACAAGCAAAGGCAACTCTGTCTTTAACATCAATCTCTTTATCATACTAAAAAATACAGATCAAATATACAGCATATATTGAACAAATTTGGCAACTGGAGTTTTAAATATCATTTTTACACACAAATTCATAATAAAGCAGACAATAATTATTCAATTTTTACAAGGTTTTAAAGTTCAAAATCATCCATCAACATTATCACAATATTTCTATTGGCTTATTTCCAAATTACATCAATTTGATTTAAATATCTGTTAACAACAGTTGCTGGGAATCACAAATTGAATCATTGCCAGCTACTCTTTTTGGACCCTCCGTTGACAAGAACACCTACCAATACATCGGCAAAGTCATTATTTTCAGCTACCAGAAAAGCAAACATTCCACGTAAATATGGTTGTTTTAATCCATGCCTTAAATCATTGCATGTTTTCTTCCACAGAGAACTTCTGTCAGTTACTCCTGCTATTGCTATTGCTACAGCTTTAAATATAGCATCATCTAAAAAAGAATCAAAATAATAACACCTTTAAACATAGCATCATCTAAAATAGAATCAAAATAGTAACACCTTTAAATATAGCATCATCTAAAATAGAATCAAAATAACAACAACTATAAATATAACATCATCTAAAATAGAATCAAATTAGCAACACTTTTAAACATAGCATCATCTAAAATAGAATCAAAATAGTAACAACTATAAATATAGCATCATCTAAAATAGAATCAAAATAACAACAACTATAAATATAGCATCATCTAAAATAGAATCAAAATAATAACACCTTTAAATATAGCATCATCTAAATTAGAATCAAAATAATAACACCTTTAATTATAGCATCATCTAAATTAGAATAAAAATAATAACACCTTTAAATATAGCATCATCTAAAATAGAATCAAAATAATAACACCTTTAAATATAGCATCATCTAAAATAGAATCAAAATAGCAACAACTTTAAATATAGCATCATCTACAATAGAATCAAAATAGCAACACCTTTAAATATAGCATCATCTAAATTAGAATCAAAATAGTAACACCTTCAAATATAGCATCATCTAAAATAGAATCAAAATAACAACAACTATAAATATAGCATCATCTAAAATAGAATCAAAATAAAAACACCTTTAAATATAGCATCATCCAAATTAGAATCAAAATAGCAACACCTTTAAATATAGCATCATCTAAATTAGAATCAAAATAATAACACTTTTAAATATAGCATCATCTAAAATAGAATCAAAATAATAACACCTTTAAATATAGCATCATCTAAAATAGAAGCAAAAAAACAACAAATATAAATATAGCATCATCTAAAATAGAATCAAAATAACAACAACTATAAATATAGCATCATCTAAAATAGAATCAAAATAACAACAACTATAAATTTAGCATCATCTAAAATAGAATCAAAATAACAACACTTTTAAATATAGCATCATCTAAAATAGAGTCAAAATAATAACACCTTTAAATATAGCATCATCTAAATTAGAATAAAAATAATAACACCTTTAAATATAGCATCATCTAAATTAGAATAAAAATAATAACACCTTTAAATATAGCATCATGTAAAATAGAATCAAAATAATAACACCTTTAAATATAGCATCATCTAAAATAGAATCAAAATAGAAACAACTATAAATATAGCATCATCTAAAATAGAATCAAAATAGCAACACCTTTAAATATAGCATCATCTAAATTAGAATCAAAATAATAACACCTTTAAACATAGCATCATCTAAATTAGAATCAAAATAGCAAGACCTTTAAATATAGCATCATCTAAAATAGAATCAAAATAATAACACCTTTAAATATAGCATCATCTAAAATTGAATCAAAATAGCAACAACTATAAATACATCATCTAAAATAGAA